GCGCGTGGAGCTCCGCTATTATTCATGTAGTCTTCTAATTAACTGGACATTGTAGTGCCTGGTGTACAAGTAAGGATATCTTGAGCCCTGTTAGACTGAAAACAAGCATTATTGGGATGTACAAGGCCTAAGGATACATCGGCCACTAACATTTGTAACGGTTATAGTGTATCAGGTGATTGCTATACATTGAAGCGAAAAATTTGATGGTCAAGACAGTGTTTTTACTCAACGTACAATGGTAGGTAGCCTTGGAAAAAACTGGATGCTCTCGCAGGATAACTGGTAGGATAATTGGTCCTTTTCCAGGCAATCAATGTTGACCCTTGAAACACAAGTAGTGATCACTATCAGTATCTTTCTCCTCTCTTCAGTGAATGTCAAAATGTAAAAGTGATGAGAACTTTGTATGGAAATAATTTTCTTGTGACTTTTTGTAAAGGTTTAAGATAATTCAATCTTAGTACTGCAAGGTTTAAAACTCAATAAACTGTCTATCTATCTAGAGGGTTTAGGCTCCTTCCATAACTTTATAATATTAATTATAACCAACTGATTAATTTTGCTTGATTTTATTAGCTATTTTAGGGCATCTGGTGGCAAAGAGCAGTTATCAGGCGGTATACCCCGTCCTCATATTTGCCCAGCCATTTTTCAGTTAAAGAAAAAAATAGTCTCTTTTCAGTTAAAATTTACCTTCTTAATTTCAAATGGACGCAGGAAAACTAAACTTGTTTTGACAAATACTGGTACAGTAAATTTTGAGCTAGTCGCAAATGCTGTTTTGGAAAATACAAAAGCAAAATTTAAGAAGTAACAATTAATAATAATGCATCACTAGAAAAGACTTGAATACAGTTTTTTTATGTCGACATACATGTAGCTATCAGCTTAGAAAAATAATACTACAAAGTGTTTAAATTAAGGACTTTGTCTTAAAGGGCCATGTAAGCGATTTTACTGTTGATCGAGTGGTACAACTAGCACACGACCAACTATAGAGCAACAGTTTGAGTCATCTGCAATTGTCAGGCGATTAAATTTTTTAACTCAGAACAGTTCAACTTATTCTTACAGCTGGGCCTCATTAGTTCTACCTTTTCTTTCTCTGACTTATTCTTCAGCACCCACCATCCACAGCAATAAAGCCAGGTTTGCCAACAGTCCAGTTCAAATGTACATCCTTCAACTGCTCCAGATTTTCCAAATTCTGTGTTTCATAGTTCTAATTTCTTTTCTAGCCCTTGCAGTGACAGTGACATTGATGGTTTCTGTTTTTTGATCCATTAGAAATGCTTTTTTGAGTAGTTTTCTAACAGTGCAGTTAGTAAAATATAGACTAAAAGCCCTGTGTTTTTCAGTTTTTTATCTACGGGGCATTGCATACATACATACCGCACCTTAATTTATCCTCAGATTTACAGTGTAGCTCTCAAAGCTAATATCTCCAAGATAGAAGAAAAAAAATAAGAAATATAAAAATAAACGTTTGACAAGACAGCATGTCAAGTTCTGGTCCAATCACAGTATTAAAAAGATAAAATTCAACCAATCACTGTACTTGTTTGCATCATTTGCACGCATGCTCATCACTTGTTTTGTTTTTTGTTTTTCTTTCATAAAGAGAAGTAAATGATGTATAAAAACCCCTTTCTGGCTTGCTGGAATATCAGAGGATAACGCCCTTGGCTGAAAGATTGTCCTCAAAATTTACAAAGGTGAAATTTTTTCGGACAATCTCTCTGTCGTGGGCATTATTCCTCTGATATACCATCTTCTGGAAGGGTTTTATTTGCTAATTAATTGTAAAGCTTTAAAAAGAGTGCATTAAAAACAGTTAGATGTCTGTAGAAAACCTTTCCTTGATCAGTGCCCTTAGGCTTGGGGTAACTTCCACCTTACCACTGTCGATTTGGAAATGTGCAATGCCTTGCACTTTAGTGCACACTGGGTTAAGGTGGTAGTGCCTGGTGGACACTTTTGGCATACAACTTTTAGTAGTCTTGTTCCAGTAGTCATATGCGTCCAGTCGACCAAAGCAGTAGTCATGGTCATCCTCTGCTGAAAAACCCAGGAGAGGAGAAGTAATTGGCTTCCGGCAGCCACTGCATCTCTTTATTTTTCTCCCAATCTTCTTTAGCATCAGTGGTGGACTAGGCATTGGGTTTTCAGGCATTCTGTTTATGGTCTCAATCATAGGTTCTCTGTGTTGTAGATAGGGTGGTGATCTGAGGACACTTGAGACATTCCCTAAATTAAGTTGAAATGCATAAATTAGGTTAAAAAATTTTAGCAGCAAAAAAGACATTAGTCTTTGGGGTTTTAAATGTTTGCCTCCACTTCAAGAACAGGGCACCTTTGTAAAGGCAGAATTTAGGTTCCCACATTCCCTGTCTTTCACAATACATTTTTATAAAAGTCCATTTTCAATAACTGAAAAAAAAAATATTAGTATTGGTAGTATTGGTCTCTTAAGTTAGCGACTAGTGACTAATTGTCACTAGTAGTTGACTCTACGTATATAAGTTGTTGTCAAACCAAAAAAGTAAAAAGTGTGTCTTAGACCATACCTTCATTCTGTGCCCTCTGATAGTGAGGCCATTCCTCAAAAACAAAGGGATCACTGAGAATGTTATTCATGACAGATGCAGCCATGACACTTGCAAATCCTGCCCACTGTTCAGTGAGTGATGCCGGGCAGTCTGCATAGCCAGAGATTCCTTTGATGATAACCCATTCTGTTTTTAGATCATGTGCTGCTGCAAAAACACCTGGAGTGAAAAAAAAAAATGGCTATGATAGAGAATGATCAGCTACACTGTAGTTACATTGTACAAATTATGCAAAAAATATCAGCCCTTATTGCTAGCTTTAGCCAAATCCTGCAGAAAAGTCAGTCAGTAGTAAGCAAAATATAAAATTGTAGCTGACAAAAGCTGATGACCTCTGAAAGCTTGAAAAATTACTAAATTCTTACAGATTTAATATTTAATGCACAAAGCCCCATGCAATAGAGGTAGTTGATACCTTGAAAAAACTTCACATCTATAGTTCAAAACTAACAAACCAAACTAAGCCTAATAACTGAAATCTGAAGCAGGCTTTCTAAGTCATTGTACAGAACTGTAACTAAATTGACGAGCGGAGAGATACAACTGTTTCAGCCAGATGCCAGGAAAGTGAATGTGGTTCTAGCGTACCAGTAATTGCTCTAGCTTTTTACATTATTTTATTGTAAATTTTGAGGAAATATTTTTCAAACTTAAGATATGGCAATAGTACAATGATCTCAGCTCTGCTCCCTTGGATCAAACAGTTTGTCATAGCTTTGGTGTCCTTGTTTCTTCTGGTCAGAGACAAGTTTTCTTTTTACCGCCACTGACAATAGCCTGCTCCAGGTGTTCAGATAAAGTTTAGCNGTAACTAAATTGACGAGCGGAGAGATACAACTGTTTCAGCCAGATGCCAGGAAAGTGAATGTGGTTCTAGCGTACCAGTAATTGCTCTAGCTTTTTACATTATTTTATTGTAAATTTTGAGGAAATATTTTTCAAACTTAAGATATGGCAATAGTACAATGATCTCAGCTCTGCTCCCTTGGATCAAACAGTTTGTCATAGCTTTGGTGTCCTTGTTTCTTCTGGTCAGAGACAAGTTTTCTTTTTACCGCCACTGACAATAGCCTGCTCCAGGTGTTCAGATAAAGTTTAGCTCAGCAGGTAAGGGATCATTCATGGCCAGTAAGGCCAAAAATATGTACCAGAGGCACACTTTCCTGGGGGGCATAGTGGAGTGAGGGACATGGCCCTGCTCTTGCTGGGAAATTTAAAACGTTTGATTCCAATAATTTTACTCTGTCTTCAATGTTCTCTTTCCAAAATGCATGGCTCATAAAAAGAAAAGCTGTGTATACTTTAGTACTTTTCCATACATGTATATACATGTATGTACATGTATATATTTATTCATTTTCCTTGTGAGAATAGAGTACTAAAGTGTGACGTCATAAAAATGAAATTTCCGAAATTATGGGATTTGTCAGGATATTCTGAAAGAACAATGTCCAAGAGGCCTACTTGCCAAAAATGAGCATTTGGGGGCAAATTGCCGCTGAGATCGTAGCTCAGTTATGCTTACAAAACTCCATACAAACCCTTCTAAATTTTTTTTGGGTCGACCCAAAAAAAAATTAGAAGGGTTTGTATGGAGTTTTCTGAGTATAACTGGGCTACGATCTCGGGGACAATTTGCCCCCAAATGCTCATTTTTGGCAAGTAGGCCTCTTGGACATTGTTCTTTCAGAATATCTTGACAAATCCCATAATTTCAGAAATTTCATCTTTATGACGTCATCACTTTAGTACTCTATTGCATCGGATCACAACTTCCTTCAATACTTTTTTTTAATATTTATAGTAAACCTAAAACCGTTTGAGGCGGTGAAGTGTTGCTTCAGGCGGTAAATTTTACCGGTTACCACCTGATAAGGAGAACACTGGATTCAGGAAAGTCATGAAAAAAAAACGCAGGGTGTGGGATTTTCGTAAAAGGAACGGGAATGCAGGATAAGAACTCCCCCCTTCCACACACTGGAGGAGGAAAATGTTCACTCTTTACAAAAGGAGGCCCACCTTAAATATCTAAATTTCTGTTTTCTCATCAGATATTTATGAGGAATGCTGGCCATGTGTAAACTTAATTCTATGTAATGCGTTATGAACACACTACTATTTTTTAAAATTATTTTGTACTTTAGCAATTATACACATGTAACTAGTCTTATGCTACACTACAGTATCTAGTCAATAATGATACACTTGTGAAAAGCTACTCGATTTTAAATGCTACAATAAGTCAAGCTTATTTTAATTTATAGTGGCCCCCATTTAGCGGTTCCACTTTGCTATGTTTTTAAAATATTTTGACACTTAAATAAAAGTATTGACTGACTGATTGATTGTACTAGTAAATTTGAGATTTGTAAATATGAAGAAATCGGCTGGAAAGTCAACAAAGCAATATCCTGCCAGCAGAGTCGGTTCGATAAGTCGGGAAAGAGGAACTTATCTAGGAAGATCGAAGGAGACTCTGTTCCCAGGGTAGCAAAGCAATACAGATCGATTTAAATTATTTTTTTACTCACCATCCCCATCCAGTTCAACAGCAATAGCGTTGGGGTACGATCTAACAAGTTCATCTCGCCGTTGACTCGATTCCACCTGCTCTGATCCGCTCAGGAGTTCGCTATCTTGGTGAACTGTTACTTCTCTAACTTCCGGGTTCTCCAATGGCGGATTCCAACCAAACCCAGCCTGCCTGATCAGGCGGGACATACTTGAGCTTAAAGGCACTGTAAAGCCGCAAGGCACGGCTCCAGTGCTTGTCATCCTTCGTGGAGCGTACGTGGTTAGCTTGGCTGGAACCAATACGTCTCCTAGCCTGGTTTTATCCCGGTACAAGCCCCAACAAGAGCCGATACAAAATACCGCTCTTGGCTGCAAAATTTCAACAGCGTCTTTAACTACAATCGCTGACCCTCCGGGATTCCCACCACCGCCTCCTGAGCATGTAATCAAGCTAACTTTCAGTTTCAGTTGACCTTCATCTTTGCCAAAGTTCCCGAAATGTACATAACCAAGAGTTCTCGTGTAGCTTCGAAAGACATCGCTCAGGTAGTAAAAACAGCTTAAAAAATCTGCGTCCCTTACTGCCAAAAGCAAAATGTCGATCGGCAGCTGGACCTCCCTCCAACGCTTTGAAGCTGTAACAAGATCACTTGTTTTTGGAATTGTTATACTGAGTGATGGTGGGCTGTCAACGTTTTTAGAAGAGAAGTCGTAGCCCGCCATCTTAACCGGGCGATCACGAACAAACAAAGGAAAAGTGACAGTTAGGAAAATTTACAAAAGGGCGGGAAATTACTCGCCTCCTCCCCAGGGTCTTCTCGTTTTCCAATATTAGGGACCTTGAGGTGGCTCGACTGGATTTTTTTGGGGGGATACCTCCCAAGTCTGTGCATTAACTACGTCGCCATGAGTAAAGAT